ACAAAAGGGGGTTTTTAGTGAGGGAAAATGCGGCCTGGTGATCCTGAGGGGAGAGCGGCTTGGAGCAGGACGGGGCGCGGAAATACAGCTCGCTTTTGGGGTGAGAAAACGGGATTTTGGGGAAAATCCAGAATTTGGGGGGAAAATCGGGAATTTTGGGGAAAAAAATGGCGATTTTAGGGAGACAAAAGGGGGTTTTTGTGAGGGAAAATGCGGCCTGGTGATCCTGAGGGGAGAGCGGCTTGGAGCAGGACGGGGCGCGGAAATACAGCTCGCTTTTGGGGTGAGAAAACAGGATTTTGGGGAAAATCCAGAATTTGGGGGGAAAATCGGGAATTTTGGGGAAAAAAATGGCGATTTTAGGGAGACAAAAGGGGGTTTTTCGTGAGGGAAAATGCGGCCTGGTGATCCTGAGGGGAGAGCGGCTTGGAGCAGGACGGGGCGCGGAAATACAGCTCGCTTTTGGGGTGAGAAAACGGGATTTTGGGGAAAAAAGGGGATTTTGGGGGAAAGGGGAAAAAATCCCAGGGTTTTAGGGTGAAAAATGGGGTTTTTGGGGTGAAAAATGGGGTTTGGGGGGGAGAAAATGGGGTTTTTGTGAGGGGAAAATCGGGTTTTTGTGAGGGGAAAATGGGGTTTTTGTGAGGAAAAATGGGGGTTTTCTGAGGGAAAAATTGAGCTTTTCGGGTAAAAATGGGGTTTTTGGGGTGGAAAATAGGGTTTTGTGAGGGAAAATGCGGCCTTGGTGATCCTGAGGGGAGAGCGGCTTGGAGCAGGACGGGGCGCGGAAATACAGCTCGCTTTTGGGGTGAGAAAACGGGATTTTGGGGAAAAAAGGGGATTTTGGGGGAAAGGGGAAAAAATCCCAGGGTTTTAGGGTGAAAAATGGGGTTTTTGGGGTGAAAAATGGGGTTTGGGGGGGAGAAAATGGGGTTTTTGTGAGGGGAAAATCGGGTTTTTGTGAGGGGAAAATGGGGTTTTTGTGAGGAAAAATGGGGGTTTTCTGAGGGAAAAATTGAACTTTTCGAGTAAAAATGGGGTTTTTGGGGTGGAAAATAGGGTTTTGTGAGGGGAAAATGCGGCCTGGTGATCCTGAGGGGAGAGCGGCTTGGAGCAGGACGGGGCGCGGAAATACAGCTCGCTTTGGGGTGAGAAACAGGGATTTGGGGAAAAAAAGGGGGATTTGGAAAAGGGGAAAAAAATCCTGGGGTTTTAGGGTGAAAAATGGGGTTTTTGTGAGGGGAAAATGGGGTTTGGGGGGGCGGAAATGGGGTTTTTGTGAGGGAAAATGGGGTTTTTGTGAGGGAAAATGGCGGTTGTGTGAGGGAAAAATGGGGTTTTTGTGAGGGAAAAATGGGGTTTTTGTGAGGGAAAAATGGGGTTTTGTGAGGAGAAAGTGGGGTTTTGTGAGGGGAAAGTGGGGTTTTGTGAAGGGAAAATGGGGTTTTGTGAAGGGAAAATGGGGTTTTTGGGGTGAAAATGGGGTTTTCGTGAGGGAAAATGGGGTTTATTGAGGGAAAAATGGGGGTTTTGTGAGGGAAATGGGGCATTGTGGAAAAAAACGTGCGAGGAAATTGGGGAAGAAATGGGGAGAAAATGAGGGAAAAAAAAGAGGGAAAACAAGAGGAAATGGAAGGAAAAAAAGGGGAAATCCAGAAAAATGTGATTTATGGGGGATTTCAGGTGAATTTGGGAGGTTTGAGGTGGATTTGGGAGGTTTGAGGTGGATTTGGGAGGGTTTGAGATGAATTTGGGCTGGTTTGAGGTGGATTTGGGTGGGTTTGAGATGAATTTGGGCGGGTTTGAGGTGGATTTAGGAAAGATTTAAGGAATCAGAAGGTTTGGGGGGCAGTTTTGGGGTCCCCAGACTCACAAACGCCGCAGCAGCTCCGGGGGGAACTGATTTTGGGGGGTCCTGGGGGCTCCCGCAGCCCGGCCCCGCTGCTCCAGCAGCAGCCGATGCTCCAGGTAAACATCCAGGGGGTCCCGAGGGTGGGCCTGGGGGAGAAAAATTTGGGGAGGGGGCTCAGGGGGATTCCCTCACTTAAAACAATCCCAAAATACCACTCGAAACAGCCCCAAAATCCCACTCGAAACCACCAAAAAACGCCCCAAAACCACCCTAAAGTGACCCAAAAACTCCCCAGTGCCCCCTAAAATCTCTCAGACATCCTCTAAAAACCCCTCAGGACACCCAGAAATAATCTAAAACCTAAAAAACCACAAATTTGGGTCTCCCCGACCTCAGCAGAGCCGAAGAGGGGCAGCAGCTCGTGGACAGCGTCTGAGAAGACGCGGCCGCAGCGCCGGACACTGACCCTAAAGTGACCCTAAAACCCCTCAGGACCCCCAGAAATCCCCTAAAAACTCCCAAAATCCCCAAAAACCCCCAAATTTGGGTCTCCCCGACCTCAGCAGAGCCGTAGAGGGGCAGCAGCTCGTGGACAGCGTCCGAGAAGACACGGCCGGAGCACCGGACACTGACCCTAAAGTGACCCTAAAACCCCTCAGGACACCCAGAAATCCCCTAAAAACTCCCAAAAACCCCAAAAAAACCCAAATTTGGGTCTCCCCGACCTCAGCAGAGCCAAAGAGGGGCAGCAGCTCGTGGACAGCGTCCGAGAAGACGCGGCTGTAGCGCCGGACGTTTTCCACCACGGCTTCGGCCAGCTCGGGGTCATCTTCGGCCACATCGTCCAGGGCCACCCACAGGGCCACCTGCTCCCGGCGGGCCAGCAACGTCTGCGGGGGGATTTGGGGTGAAAAAAGGGCATTTTGGGGAGATTCGGGAGGTTTGGAAAGGGTTTGGGTGGGATTTTGGGGGGTTTAGGGGAGATTTGAGGGGTTATGGCGGGGGGTTTGGGGAGGTTGAAGGGGGTTTGGAAAAGTTCTGAGGAGATTTGGGGTGGAAAAGGGGGTTTGGAGGGGATTTGAGGGGGTTTAGGGAGAGTTTGGGGGGTCGGAAAGGCGTTTGAGGGGGTTTAAGGAGGATTTTGAGGGGTTATGGGGGGACTCGA